TATATATATATATATAACCAATTTGTTTTTGCTTTAAACATAATAGAACATATTACTTATTTTATTTATATTTAATCAACTTTAGAACAATACTGAAAAAGTATACTTTTTATTAGATGATCCCTCGCATGAACCAGATCCATCAGCATCTCTTAATATATGTGAGGAATTTCATTGCGTGTTTAAAGCAAAATTTGGAGATCATTCTTTACTATATGGGGCTGAAATAGATGGTATTCTTTCACAAGAGCCTATAAAAGATACATTGATCGATAAAAAATTGCTTGTTGAATTGAAAACATGTCCAATGTACTATGACAGTGAATATGGGAAATTTGACTTGGATAGAACAATAGGCTGGTGGAGTCAAAGTTATTTAGTAGGAATTGACAAAATTATATGTGGATTAAAAGATAAATCTAATACAGTAAGAATGATAAAAGAATATTCTACAAATTCGCTGGTATCACAGTCCAAGGTAACAATTCTATTATTGTAATTCTAAAAAAGATTTCAAAATATGTCCAATGAAATGCTTCTTGATACATTAATTATAAATTTTTGTGTAGATTCCCTGTAACGTAAAACCATGTAAAATGTTCTGCAAGATATTTTTAGACAATGTTAAAAGGATTGTCACTAAAGATTATAATGAATGTATATATAAATTTCACTGGAATCCACGTACTAAAAGTATTGTAAATTATACTGAAGAAGCTCCTGATAATGAGAAATATGTTTTCTTAAAGGAATGGTTTATCGAGAAAGTAGAGAAGTATAAAAATACTTATCAATAAATGTAAAAATCCAAGAGATAATTTGTTTTTTATACTAAAAGATATAATAGTGTAAGAAGCTTACTAGATTTTATATATGATTATATAAACAAAAATATGTGACTTACAAAACCATGACAATTTTTATAAGGAAACAAATTATGTATTTTATTTTCAAGGAAATAAATATGATTTATTTTAATCTTGAGATATTTTAATAATGATAACTTTTCAGATTGCTTAATACATTAATGAATATTTTGCATTTTATACAAAAGTTTTTGATTTAATTTACGTTTATAAGCTCATATATGTATTCTGATCTTTATTGGTAGAATCAAATGAAATTAAAATTTTATTGCATATCACACACTTCTACCTAGAACTTGTCCCATTGCATCCATTTCTTTATGGGACATAGGTTCCAACATTAATCCAGGTACTGGCGGAGCCAACTCTAAGTCTCGTAACTCATTTACTTTTACCTTCAAGTCGCTTCTTAGCTTATTAATTACAGTACTACACTCTCTTTGATCTATAATGAGAATAATATTAAATTAAACAATTATGGAATGTGAATTAATGAATTTTCTTCTGCTTAATTTAGAATAAATTACCTTTTTCAAGCAGTTCTTCAGCTGCATTAGATGGCATTTTTAATAACAAAGGGCCGACTGTTATCCAAGTTTTTTCCTGACGTTGTTTTTGTAGTGCCCTCATTCCAACGCGATCATCATTTCTTCTTTTATCCAGAGCGACTATTTCTTCGCGATCAGTCAGAATTTCACCAGCTTTGTTTTCAACTTTTTCTAAATGCTCCAGTAATCTTTGATGTCCATTCGCCATCTGTAATGTATTGAAAAAAATGACGTATTGTATGAATTAATATTGAAAAATATGTATACATATATTAGGAAATTCTTATATTTTAGTAAAATAAACACTCTGTGCATTTTTACACTTTTATTAATATTATAATTGACATGAAAGAGTTTGCACTAGTAATATATTATAGAAAAGTTTTTAAAAATGCAGCAAATATTTTCTATATGAATTATTTTATAATTGAGGAATATTGATGATTGACTTACAAGCATAAATATACAAGGATAGTAACACTTATTATCATTGCATTCAAATTTTAAATATACATCACATTCACATTTATAAAATTATTCACATTTATTTTAAGATAATGCAATACGCAGAGCTCTTTCTTTCCTAGCTTCTCTGTGAAGTAGTCTTTCCCTGTCTCGCTTTTTCAATGTTTTTTGCTTGGGTATTTTAATGCTATTAATGGCAGTTGCATCACCCGGCTTAAAATGAGTGACTTTATATTCATTTTCTAATTGTCCTAATCCTTTGCGATCTATTTTCAAGCATGTTTTAATTGGATATTTTATTCCTTTCCCAGAAGGTCCAAGGCCAGCTTCTTCATCCCATCCTGTATTCAAAAGCATTCTATATCCTTTATTTTGTCTTGATATTCCATACATTGCATGCTTCAGTTTTGGTTTCGTATTGAAGATATGCAGAGTAGAACTTTCATGTTTTTGTAAAGTTGTTTCCTGAAAGGTTGTTTTACAAATTTCACAGTAAAATACTGTGTTCTGCTCAAATTGCGCTTTCTGTTCTAGAACATTGCAAATATCTTTATCCTGTTCTATTGAAGAATCTGTAGGCATTGATCTTGTTGATAAAGCATTTGTATTGCTTATTTTTGGAGAACTTGTAGATATTTGATTATTACTGCTCAATGAATCAGATTTCTTTTTCAATAACGCAACTATACTTAAATAATTTTTTTTTAAAGCTAATTGAGCTGCAGTAAGACCGGATCTGTCCCTAGTTTTTTTATTAGCTCCAAGATTCAATAAGAATCGCACTATTTCCAAATGACCACAATAAGCAGCAGACATTAAAGGAGTCCAACCAAAGTCATCTGATACATTTACATTTTCCGATGTCATGTGCTTTTGTAAGAATTTTAAATCTTTTTGCTCCACTGCTTTTAACAATGTATTGATTGTGACTTGTGCTAAAACATCTTCAGAAATTGTAGTCTTCTTTGATTGCTCAATAGAAATCGAATTTATACTGGAGTTGCTTTGGTCACCAACAATTCTTGATTTTAAATACTTTCTTGTTGTCGTAACATTGCTATTACAAGATTGTATAATTTCTTCATAAGCAACTTTTGCGTCATTTCCTTGGAAAGCCAATTGATGAATATGCTTTTCTGGAGATTTGTCTCGTATATTGGGGGATTCTCTGACAAACATTTTCCATGGTATATCGATGTTGTATCGTAAATGCATCCACGATTGCAGAGACATTTTGTTTGTTTGTTGCACGTCACGTTGTTTTATAGTTTCGACATATGTTTCTTGCTCATGAAATTTGTACAGGACTCTTGTCTATGTATTTATCTTCTTAAAAAATCACGCAAGCAACACATATATAAATTGTTCTGAAATGCGAACTGCAAACGATACTCGCATTTCTCTCCACTTTATTTTTGTGATAAGACATTTTGCAAAGGTAAAGGCGAAATAATGCCTCAAAATGATAATAATCTTAAACTTGGTATATGTTGCTCATAAAAATTTAAAATCTTATTATCAAGACAATATATTGATAGCAAATTACCTTTGCTACTTTAATGCACTATTATTACGCTTTGCTGTATTCTATTAAATAATTTAGAATTAGGTTATATATAATCTGTCATATATCACGAGATTCTTTTTACATATATATATTCTGCAATGCATGCAACGTAAGAATATATTAGTTCCTACTCTCTAGAAAGCGCAACACTACATTCTCGATTATCACTATTTCCTGTATGAAAATTGAAGACTCTCTATATTAAGCGTAACCAATGCTTAACACTTCTGGCTTGAGTTTTTTTTCTTTGAATTAAATTTTAGATTTAATATTTTGATCAATCAACAACCTGTGTTTTTGGATGGCTGTAGACTTTTAAATTAATATTCATAACGCGTGGAAATCCGAACAATACGCATTCAACCCATAAATGCTTAACCAGAAATATGAAATATTGGTTTTTATGTTTAGGTAATGTTTATTTTTTTAATTACATGAGATAATTGTCTGGTGTAAAAAATTATTTAATACTATTTTGCACAAGACTAATGAATTAACAATCAAAAAGAATATGTGAGGCAACATCAGTAATAGATAATTAAATGTTAAAAGTATAATACAAAAGAATTCGTTAATCTGAATCAGAACATCATGTTTCTTGTTGATTTTCATAATTGTTTCAATGCAATAGAAAAGTAAATTTAACAAGAATTAAAATAAATTTTATCATATAAATACTGAATGGAACATATGAAAAATATCTAAATACATTTTCAAAATTTCTCCATATAAATTTCAACAAGTAAAGATTTAATTGCACATAGATTAAATTATTTTAAATTATTTATAAAAATATAAATTGTTAATAATGCAAAATAGTTTTAAATTTATTTTTTTTGTAGTATAAAAACATTGCACACTTCATTGCATTTATCAACACGCCATCTACCTGTCGCTACGATGCGTTAAAGAGCAGAAATTTCTGCTTGTTCTGCTGCGGACGAGAATCTCGTCACGAGATTATTCGTAAAGTATCAAGCGGCTACTTCTTAGAGAAAACAAATTATGATGGCAAGCAAGGCTTGGAAGGTTAGTACTGCGGACTTGACTGGAACACAGGAAACTGTTATGAATCGCCTGACAATGATTTCGTAACGAGCAATGACGGTACTCGCGCAGTATGTAACTCGGCTTTAAGTATTGAGCTGCGATCTTTTCGTAGGTAGTCCAACCGCACGTGCCAATGATTAAATTTCGCAAGGGAGGCGTTAATCCAGGTAATATAAACACAACCGACACGACCGTCAACGACGCATGACTCTGTTAAAAAAAATGCTCCGTTCACACTGAAATCTGTGTTATTGGTTAGCAGTCGTGGGTGCTGTTCCGTCTGCGCGATCAGGACCGACCCAAGTGCAACAGAGCGCAGGCGGTACAACGGGTCCTCGCGTGGTCGCTTTGCCGACGATAGAAGACATTCATCTGCCACTGCGATATCAGAGACGACCGATAGATCAAAAAGAAATTGAATATATTAATGTAAGTTGTGACAATCCTTTAACAGAAATTTTTATGCGGCTTTAATTTTAAGAACTCATTTTTTTTATTCACATTTTATATATATATGTGTGTACATATATGCAGTATTTTAATATTTTTTGTAAATTATTCTATATATACATTTAATATCTTGTGTGCTTTTTATTTGTTTGTTATAGCGTGGTGGACCAGAGTGAATATAGTACAAATGTTTAGGATATTATGAGCCACATCTTTGCAAGTTAATTAACTTGATTGATTTGATATTGATTTAATGCAATGTGCTGTTCAAATAAATGGACGTAATTGCGTGCTGTGAATATTATTTCATATTTATATCAACCACCTATCGGACAAGGTCTCTTGTGACATTGCCAGGGCCTGCTATTTCTGGCATAACTTTCAGCTCATTCCTGTGACAGCCAGAGCCAGATATAAAGGAATAAAGTTTTAGTAAAATACTTTATTATCGTAAGTTTTTAATCTTATACTTAAAAAATGTAAGAAGAAGATATTATATATATATATATATATATACTAAATTTGTGTCATATATTGTACAAACCTAAAATTAATTGCAGATTTAGATAGTTTTGAATATATGATTATGTGTGTGTTTAGAAGACAGAAATGACAAAGTCTTGTGCAATAATATAAAAATAGAATCCATAAATTTTTGGACTAAAAGAATTTTTTTAGAGTGCAATAAATTTTGGCAATATTATATGATAAGAAAGTTTCTTTAAAAAATCTAAGAAAATCTATTTATTATTTAGTTAATGTAATTATTTCAGAATTTAAAATAATGTATTTAAAACTAAAAAAACCCAGCTTTTAGGATCTTTAAGTATCTTGAATATTTTTATTTCCAAAACTGAATGCTCTGCAGATTTCTTTGTAGCGTGATATCGCTTTTAAAACTACAGGAATAATAATTCAGGCGATTAAGACCTTGATACAGCCCTGTGGAATGATAAAAATAGCAGACGACAGTGCGCTGCGGTTCGGCGGCTCCCATCCCACCTCTTCGCGGTGCCTGGATGTGAGTGTGGATAAGGATTCGCAATCCATTTCATAGTTTTATCGAAGTTTTCTCGAAGCGCGAAACATTTACGAACGACGAACCTACGAAAATGGCCGAGATAACGGATTTCGGACCGAGAAAGACGATTTTTATACTTGCGATCGTGGTCGGCTGCTTTGCGGTGTTATGGCCGAAAATTTTCTACCCTATGCTCACAGCAACTTACACTCATCACCCCACATCAGATAGCTCTGGTAAGATTCCAATGCTTTATGAATAAGTTAATGGTTTTAAAAAATTCGAAAAAGTATTTCATTACAATGTACATATATTTTTTTGTTTATAAATGGCTTAAATTTTTATGTTATGTTATGTTATGTTATATTATAATGTTAAATAAGTAATATTTACTTAATTTTGAATAAAAACATTTTTGTTACATAAAGTTATTATTAATAATTGATTAATTTGAATGGATGAAGGAATCTGTACCAAAGGTACTTTATTGTTCATATTTGCGTAGCGTGCTGTGAAGTAATATTTGAAAGTGATGTTACTGCAGTGGACATAATGCAAGAAATGTGTCAAAACATATTGAGGCATCATCCAGTCGATCCACGTGTAAGAGATGCGTTAAAACTTAGTCAGCTGACCCCTCAATCAGCAAACTTATGCAGAGAGGAGGTTCTAGCCAGATGTGGCATAGACTTATCATCTTTTCTTGCTGAAAGGGAACAGTTGGGAAAAACCTATAAACAAGTGTTAGAGGAAATTAGATCATTCAATAGCTCCCTTTGCCTTAAGATGAATTTTGGTGTACCACTGTCACAGTTGGGAACACCTCATCTTATCAGATACCATATCTTGATGCCACACAGTAAGAATTGTGAAAATGTACATGTGAATTAATTGACATTTAACACTATATGATGAAATTTTATTGTATTATTCCAATATCTAATTAACTAATAAACTAATCAACTGTAGTTACTTTCATCATGTGATATTTCTAAAGTATTGGATTTGTAATTTTTATAACACTACTATATATTTTGATGCACTATTAATAACTCTTTGCTATCTAAATTAACTCGAAATTGATTTAATGCACTTGTCACTTAATCAGACATGAGGATTCGAAGATTTATAACTCGCTTATATAATAAGATAAACTTTTCAGAAATATGTCTTTAATCACATCATCATGTATATATGGAAAGCGAAGTTGTTCATTTTGCTTTGGCTGAATGCCAAAAAAGCCTGATGTTTGGCAGACAAGACCTGGCCTATAGTCAGTTTTAAATTCATACCAATGACCTATTATATACTTCTTATTCAAGATAAATTCTAAATTTCAATGGAATTAACAATTGATACAATACGACTTTTCTAACAGTTTAAAATAATTAATGAAACAGTTATTATATTTTAGTAATTAATACAAGCTTGTACTAATCTTTAAGACATTGACATTGATATAGAATAAATATGTTTTTATTAATTGATGAATATATTTTACAGGCACTCTATTAATTTCTTATGTTTACAGGTACAATACGACAGGAGCGTCGTACTCCTCCTCATGCAGGCGGGATGCATCCTGCGATGAGAGAGCGAGGAAGGGCGATACCATCCTCTCACATTGTACCAAAGATAGTGGACAGAGCTGATCACATTATACCAAAAATGAGGCCACCTCTTGGCGGTGCTGGTCATGTTGTCCCAGCTGCCAAGGGGAATGGCACAATGGGGATTATAATGCCACTGTACACGATAGGAATAATTTTGTTTTTCGTATACACCATTGTTAAGGTGATGTATAAATCTACAGAATAACAAAGATTTGGATGCAACGGAGTCTTATAATTTATATCTACAGGTTTTGAAAAAGAGTTCGGATAGCGAAATTATTTCGGAATATCCAGGGGCAGCTGCCGAAAAGGAATTTCGAAAAATGGTGTTCAGTCCAGAAGCTTTCGCGACTGCAATGACTGGGGGTACGCTACATTATCCGCGTGAAAGGTCACCACACATGACTGCACCAACTATAGAGGAGTTGAAGGATCGTAAGTGCTTTTGCAAATAATTTGTACTATTACAAGTCATGTTTCATTTACATTATCATCAACGCAATGTTTTTTTTCTGAAAAGCTATTTTCCTCGGAAAAAGATATTTAGAGTTAAGATATATGTCTTCTTGAGTATCTAAACAGATTTTTAAGTGGTGTTGCATGATGCAAGGTTTGCACAATTAGAACACACACGTATTTATACACGCGGTTATACATTGCAAGATTCTGAATAAAAATGAGCATATTGTAAGTACTCGTACTTATACTTTGAACACATTTGGTAATGTTCTACATGCTGGAACACAAGAAGCGGCAGGAGACATAGAGATAGATCAACTGAGACAACGTTTGGTCGAGACGGAAGCAGCCATGGAAAGAATTGTTGTCCAGATGGGCAACATATCACGTTCAGTAATGCAAAACTCGGGCTCACAGCCAGAAATCAAGGTTTACCAGATTAGTTTTGACGCAATTCACAATTTCATTTTATTAGTCGTTAGAAATGCACGTCGCTGTGTTCTGATTGCGTTACAAGCTTTACCCATCCAATGTACATTAAACATGTTGTACATTTAGTATAAGACCTTTATCTTCAATATTTGGCTTTTTCCACTATCGATGCTTGCGGATAACCGATGCGCAGAATTACAAATTGTTGATTTAAATGTTTATAATATATACGAGATTCATATTGTGTATTAGTCGAGTGCAATATTCAATACGAACATTTAAGTCGGAATATGTATTTAATAATAGAATTCACGTTGTATATTTTATATTTTGAGTAGTAGATGGGGCTCCAAAGTCCAATGGTCTGGCAGGGGTCGATCGCGGTTCCAAGGTACATTCCTTGCCCCAAAAACACTTCTAACAAGAGTAACCAAGAGTTTGTGGGACACTTTTTACTTCTTATGCATTAGCTTCACGAATGATGAGTTTATCATACGTAAATGTTTCTTGGGCTTATATATGATAGTTTCATTGATATGATTCTTCAGTAACAACATTTATTATAAATGTTTTAAATGCAAAATACCAGTATCTTTTTATATAAATAAAGATATACGTGACTTGTCAATGCTAAATATTGTTGAAATACAAGTTAATGAAACACTAGTTCTTTCTACAGCTTCTGAATTACAAATATTAATTGTGTGCCTTGCATGATACTCGCTTTTTTCTATATCTTATTGATATGGCATATTATAAAATTAATATTATAATGTATAAAAATAATATATATGAATTATACATCTGCCTCGTATGTCATAATTGTATTATATTTTTTAGACATAGAATCTTTAATATAGCACATTTTTTAAATCTGTATGATTTTTTTGTTATATTAAAAGCATTTATATAAAATGGCTCTTATATATCACATTAATAAGCAAAATGGCTTTGAAGTTTACTACATAACGTGTTATTATTACATATTTCCGATTTAAAAAGTATATAAAATCAGTTGAATGAGTAGAGAAATAATAGAAGAGCAGTATTCTAAGAATTTGACTTACAGGAGGATACTGCAGGCCAGGAATCACCTAGTAGAGAAGGTGAAGAGTTAGACGCAGCAGAACAATCACCAACAGTTAAAGTTATGGGTATGGAAATGACAGCTAGTTGTGAAAGTGGACAGAAATGTAGCAGACCTACTACTCCAATTATTCCTACACCACCAAGGTATGTGCTATACTTATTATTTCTTTTTATAACGTTTTCTCATTCTTCTCATTATTAATATTTGCTAAATGATTTGTTGAATATCAACACACTATGCTTTTGTTTCAGTAATCTTGAAAGAGAAAAAACCCCACCAAAACCCATTTATTTAGAGGGCGCGCTTCCGTCACAGTGTGAATTACTTGTAACCGATTCAGAAACTCAAGCAGAAAAGTCAGAGGATGACGATGACGCTCCTGTTGTTCTCTCAGGCAAAATGACCCTTTCTCTCATCAGTCTCGACCAGATTCCAGCTGTAAGGAAATATTAGAATTACCAACAGAATCAAATGAATCTGCGGAGCCTTGTTTTATTTGGTGATTCTTTTATTCATTTAATTGTTTGCTTAACTTTTGAATAGATTTCTTAACATAGATATCACAAATCACAGAAATTAAATGCGAAGAATGCTTTTTTAGCTATTACATGTTTGAGTAATGTATTTGATTTCATTACTTATTATTTCTATTATTATTCTTCTCTGTGATTTGTTCTGACTAGAGATATTAATACTAGTGCTTTGTATTTCTTATGTTTTACTAATATTTTAATTTTAATACAAGATACATTGATTTCTCAATTAAAATTTAAGTTCTGTAAAGAATGCTCTATTTTGAAATAGATTGTCAAGTTTTAAAGGGAAATTCTACATGAAGGCACGTCACACACTTACACGCACACGCATTTAGCGATTTATTTTAAACACAGTTTGAATTATGTTTGTCTAAAACATGTAATATATGTTTATTTATATATTGTTTATGGCTTTGTATCAATTTTTTAACTAAACAAGGTGCATTTTTTTGGAATTTTATTTTTATATAATTTTATCGATAAGTTTATGAATTTTTTTTTACATAATGCTAACAAGATTATGCAAATTGCCTTTGACAGAAACATTGCATTAATTAAAACTACATTTAAATTTAATCACTAATTACAATTATAATTATATAGAGAATTAGTAATATATTTTATTATATAATATATATTTTATTATATAATATATAAATATAATATTGCCAGTTTTATGGCGTTTAATGTTGATGTTAAAATGCTTTATGATACACAAGCTTATTACACAAAATGAATTATGCAATTTAATTAGATTATATCATTTTTACTATTGATGATTAAAAAAAAGTAAAGTTGATGATAGTTTCTACTTTATATTTTTCATAAATGATACAAAAGTCTCCGCAAAGCACAAAATAGCATTTTCCTTTTTTAAATTATATTTTCTTTTTTATATAAATTATTTCTCGTTATTATAAATTTTACATTTTTTAATTATATATAATTTTTATTTGAAAAGATGCTTTGGTGTTTCACAGCGATATCATGTTCTTATTGATACGTTGAAGTTACGTTGAGTTATATTTGTAAACATATAAGACTCCGTGATTAATTTGTGTCCTCTAACATAGATTTCATCAGTTGATGGTAGCTAACGTGACAGTTAATAACGTAGTGGAAAATTTTAATTTATTTTTCACAAAAAAGATTCACTATTATGTGCAGCCGTATGTTAAATACTGCCAAGAAACAAATCCTCATGGTATTGTATTTCATAAATAATAAAAAAGAGTAGATCTGCTCAATTTTGTTATTAGTTGTTTAGCTACGAACGCTGTTTATGACATTATTGTCTGTTAATTAATATAGAAGTAATAACTACATAATTTATTGTGCATTTGCAATCGTAGTGTATTTCTATCGTGTTTATTGGTGACTTTAAAAAATTATTTTATATACATCTAAAGGATTAAATTATTTTTAAATTTTTTGATTTTTTTTACTATCATCAATTGTAAAAGATTTTATTTCATTAAAAATTTTGTAATTTACTCTGTTTTTTTGAAAATCTATTTCATATGTTAGTTTTTTGCTTTATAATTGAAAATAATTGTATTTAATATGCAGGATTTGGAGGAGAAAAGAGAAAACAAAAAAAATTTGGATATCCAAGGAGAAGTTGCAATTGATAAGAAACAAAAAGGAGACGAGAAGAAAGTGGAAGTAGAGGAAGCAAAAATCGTAAGCGGAATCGTGAAAAGTATGGAGGAGAAAAAAGAGGAATTAAAAGAGGACGAAGATGAACAAGGGATTAATGCCGAAGAAGATGACGTTGAAGAAGATGTTGAAGAAGATGTTGATGAAGAAGATGTTGATGAAGAAGATGCTGATGAAGAAGATGCTGACGAAGAAGATGCTGACGAAGAAGATGCTGATGAAGAAGATGTTGTTGAAGAAGGTGTTGATGAAGAAGACGTTGATGATGAAGAAGATGATGATGAAGAAGAATATGTTGCTAAAGAAGAAGTTGTTGACGAAGAAGAAGATGTTGATGAAGAAGATGGAGAAGATGAAGAAGAAAAAGACAACGACAAACGGTATAGGGTATATGCTGACAAGGCTTTGGATAGTGATGAGAAAAATTAAAACGAAAAAGAAAGCGATGGAATTATCACAGAAAGGAAAGACGAGGAAGAGAAGGATGATACTGACGAGAAATATGAAAAAATATTTAAAAAAGATAATAAGAAAAAAGACGAAAGAAATTAGAGGAACGGGATAAAATTTTAAGCAATTTTGTTTCTTAAAATGGATCAGTGTTTACCAATCTTCGAAGAATGCCTTTTATTATAAAGAAAGAAGTTATATGATTATTATAATAGTTATAGGAAACCTGGTATAGTATATTTATAATGTGACAATGCATAAACTTGTTGGTTAAGCACTGCCAAATACCTAAAGTGTTACATGCATCATATTTTCATTTTTTGACAATTGTATTTGATGTTTAATACAATCATAAATTTATTAATTGATTACAGGGGCCAAAAGAAAGATGGGCAGTGCTTTAGTCATCCATGTTACAATACCAAGACAGTATACTTCAATCTATAATATTTATTATTATTCCATATAATTATTAATTTAATATATATTAAATTAATAGTAATATATATGTAATTAAAATTATATGGTATTTAAATATTTAATTATATTTAATTATATTTAATTATTTTAATGATATTTAACATATTATAACTCTGTATTGGTTTAGAAAGCTATTTATAAAATATCATGTAACATTTGATAGATGGTAAATAATGGAAAGAATTGCGCATCTTTTTAATTGTAGCATACGACATAAACATCAAATTCGATTGGCAAGCACTGATACAATTTTTATGAAAAAAGCAAACATCTAGTCTAGTCTTTTCCTTTTTTTTTTACTCTAAGTAGGGTTCGCGTTCGTAAATCTTTTCATATATTAAGCATTGTTTTTTAAATATTTAACTTTCACTTCATTACTTTTACATCAGAATATAGCATTTGAGTCTCGTATTTTTAGTTCTCATGTTAAGTTTTGTAATAAGCGCTTCTCAATTTCTATATTTATTGTGAAACTTAAAATGCTTTACCATTTCTACATTTCTGGCCTCAGTTTGTAAATGTGACTTTAAAATATATTTGTTAAAATATATCTGTTGGTTATATTTATTTTATTATTATAGAAATAATTTTATAATAATTAATGGTTATATTCTTTCAATCATAAAAAAATTTTTTTTTTAATTTAAATAAGATGAAACATTTAAACATAAAACTAAAAATCTATTCCATTTTTATTTTTACTAATTCACAATATTAAATAAATTTGTAATTTTATTCTTAATTGTTTTCGCATTGTTAAAAGTCAATAATAGTGTAGTGAAATAATACGGCATAGAGAAAATGATATAAATGAACAAAAAATGCGGAGATTTATTATAAATCATGTAAAATTATAGTTAATTAATGTTATAAGCAGATATATAATATATCAGCAACATTCTTTATACATCTATATTTTATATCACATAAAACTGTTACTGCTTCCATAATAACACCACATTAAGAATATAAATATAAGTAAAAAATATCTTAGTTGAACAAAGCAGGATATCTTTAAATATTCAATTTTTATTAATATAAAGCTGCCGCATTTTTTGTAAAACTTAACATTACTCAAAAATATGTATTTATACCTAATTCCTTTGGCTTATACTTTGTCTTGTTGTAATGTGGAAATATTTATGAGAGATTTTAATAAGATTTGTATTTATCTATTACTAGAATGCTATGTAGACAAGTTTTAGCGACAAAGCCATGAAAGATAAGCTGCTTTAAATTACATACAAATAGAGTATTATATAATTATTATAAACAAAATAATCACTACTGAGTTTTATTAAAAATAAAAAGTACTTATTTGTGGAATAAATACAGATGTTTAAATATAAGTGCTATTACTTTATGTAGTGATTACATTGTTATTAAAAAAATAAATATACATACAAATACACAAGTATGTCTGCAATATATAACGGAATTGACGCACGATTGGGCATCAATCAATTAATGCGCGGATAAACTTTTGGAAGTCTGTTTTCCAGAATCACTTTGAAAAAAAATCTTTGCTACGACTGCTGGAATATCATTAGTAAGTTTTACTTATAACATTATTTATTATGCAAGAAATGATTATATTCTTATATATATAATAAAATAATTTTTCTATTTGTTTTGTAAGATTACAACAAGTTCTATACTTGATTTGATTCTGTTAGTCTCTCAATTGCGCAATCTCATAAACACAAAATAGTACATCCCTAGCACATGATAGCACATCGAATCTGAGTTTACATATCTTTCTCATAACCTTCCTCAATCTTAGTTTTCTTTTAATTTCTAGCTGTTTCTAGCTTAATAAATCAGTAAATAATCTGAATATTGCAGAATACATCAGTTTAAGTTTCTAAATGTTATTTTTGATAATATGAGAATTAACTATGATAAATTTTGTTGAAAGAAAAGTTTGTACATAACCTGTGAAAAAGTTTCTTCATTCATCATGCTATATTAAGTATTCTATGATGTGTGTGCTCATATAAAACATTTAAAAGCAAACTAACATAAGTGATGATCGATTTCCTTTGATTTTTTTTTTTTTAAATTTGATAGATGAGAATTCCACGTTTTGTCTGTAATGTCTTTATAGGCATCCCAATTGGGATTGCTTTTTGTGATATAGTCGGATATGTCGCAAGAGTAGAAGGAATCTCTATGCAACCTGCATTAAATCCGGATTTACGATATCCTGATTATGTATTCTTAAATCGTTGGGCAGTTCGGAATCAAGATATAAAACGTGGTGACATAGTGTGTATCATATCCCCCAAGGTGCCAAATCAAACACTTATCAAAAGAGTTATAGGACTTGCTGGAGATACTGTGGGCACGCATGGATATAAGATCAGTGCTCTTCAAGTATGACTATCATATGTAACTGACATTTTATCAAATTAATACTAACTTTGTTCTTTATATTAAAATAAAATATGATTTTATGATTATAGGTACCACAAGGACATTGTTGGTTGGAAGGAGACCACGTCGGACATTCTATGGACTCTAATACATTTGGACCAGTATCTCTAGGTCTAGTAACAGCCAAAGCTACCTATATAGTTTGGCCACCAAATCGCTGGCAACAGTTACGTACAAAATTCAATCATGAGGGCTGTTAGCTTTGTAAAGAGATTGCAGTGGGAATTACCTGGTACTGTATGCAGGTAACTTTAATTATGACCACCAGCAGCTTTATAAACAGCTTACAATGATAATTATCCAAATATTGTATCTAGGCACGGCTTAACAATAGGAGATGTTGATAATGATGGCGACAATGAATTGGTTGTTGGTACTGCTGAAGGAGAACTTTATATTTTTAAGGTTTGTAACATGACTTAAAGTAATATATCTTAAATTATTAAAGACAAGCTACAGAGCCAGAGCTAGTTGGTCATGCTTAGTTTATTAAATTTTATAACATTAGATAAAGTCTATACGTTTCGACCATTCGGATGTGGTCATCTTCAGCACAATTATTTGTTAAAATTATTAGTACATTTAATACACAAAACAATTGTTAAACAAAGTCATCTCGGAACATATTACATTAAAATTCATCATACAAATTCGTTACTTTTGAAAACGTCCAATCCATAGTTGGAAAACATTTCATCAATGTCATGCCCAATTCAATAACAGCAACCTCCAAATTATTATTGCTATTATTGAATTGGGCATTCATTGCCCACATCAATAATTATGACATTGATGAAATGTTTTCCAACTATGGGTTAGACGTTTTCAAAAGTAACGAATTTGTATGATGAATTTTAATGTAATATGTTCCGAGATGACTTTGTTTAACAATTGTTTTATGTATTAAATGTACTAATAATTTTAATGAATAATTGTACTGAAGATGACCACATCCGAATGGTCGAAACGTATAGACTTTATCTAATGTTATAAAATTTAATAAATTAAGCATGACCAACTAGCTCTGGCTCTATAGCTTGTCTTTAATAATTTATTTTAATAATTCAAGCCAAAAATTGTAATATTTAATTTATTTAATATATCTTAATTTAAATCTTAATTGCCTCTTATATGACAGGGATCAGAATTGTGGCAGAAAATTACAGGCCTTGGTCTTATCACCAGCGTAGCAATTGGAGATATTTTTAATTATGGATGCAATGCTCTTGTTGTCATCTGTGGTGATGGATGGACACACATATTTTATAGTCCCAGATCTGTCAATCCTAATAACATAAACATATTAGGTCAGTATACTGGCAAAGATATAAATGAACAGGATAACTTCAAAGTAAATACTGGTAAGTCTGTATTTCAAGATATAGAAAGAAATATTTTGTGAAATAAAAGAAATTCTCTATACTAGAGATAACTAATGAATATATATGTATGCAGATACAGCAAATTTCCAAAACTCGGAACACGTGGACAATACTAATGAAATTAATGAACTCTCTGGAAAAATGGAATGTGTACATGTGCAAAGAATTCCAACGAACACAAAAATAGTGTTGATAGCTGATGTTGACAAAGATGGTGCCAATGAGATGATTCTTGGTCTGACAGATCGCGTCGTCAGATCTTACAGATGGTCAAGTAATGCTGATTTAGGAACAGGAAAATTAATTGGCCTAAATAAATGGGAATGCACTAATCAAATAGGAACAGTTACGTTGCAAGTATGTCGAATTAAATATTGACACTTTAAAAGTATTGATTATAATACAAACATAAGATATATTAAAAGATGAAAATTTTTATTTAGCATACTGGTGATGGTACGCCAACCTTACTGGTAGCACAACCTGGTGGTACGTTTATGCGGATTAAATGCAACTCTGAGGATTGCCAAGCAAAAGATTGTTCCTACGAGGCTGTAGATTATCAGACATTAGGAATATCTAGGATGCGTAATCAAAATATCTCAACGGAAATTATCGGGGATTTAGAGCCGGGAGTAACACCGTTTATTTCAACACTTGAATCTAAAATGTCTAGTTATATGCCTAAAGAGAAGATCTCGAAACAAAGTTTTACGGACGACAGTCAATTAGATGTGAAAACCTTTAAACCTGCATCGCTTGAGTTCAAAAGAAATTACTCGCAACCGATAATTCGGAAAAATAGTCTAGATATGGCAGGCGAGTATGCCCGTGGAGATATCACAGCAGAAAATCAAAGAGCAGTTAGATTTTATAATCCTGCTGATTCTTCAAGCAATGATGAAGTGGACGGCAATTTCATTGGTGGCAAAGTTATTCTTGGAGAATTTGATAGGAAAACTCTAAAAGATATGTTGTTACCAACATTTAAAGATTTGTCCCACAAAATTAACAACAATAATAATAATAGCGATAGCAGTAATACCAATACAATTCAGAACAATAAAGATAAGGATGCGCTTGATGGAATTGGTGAAAGCACTCCAAAAGGAAAACCCTACGCTTTAGCAACGCTTGATGGAACTATTATGTTAGTGCAGGATGAGATCATTTTGTGGTAAGTGAATATATATCGATGACATGCAATTTCACATATTGTTTTATTTGAGAACAATTGTATAATGTTTATAGGGCTATGCAAGTAGATCATCAGATATTTGCTCTGTGCCGATTAGATGTCACAGGTAATAATTCCGACGAAATAATTGCATGCGCCTGGGACGGTCAGACTTACATTCTAGATCAACAACGGCACAGCGTACGCTTTCAATTTGAGGAACCGGTCAGAGCTTTTTGTACGGGAAATTATAATGTGACTCCGGGAACTTCTAGTCCCAGCCTGGTGTATAATACCTTTAACAATAAGGTTTCTATACATATATCTAGTCTAAACAAATTTCGTTTACGGTTACAACAAAGATAATTACATTTTCTACTTTCCAGATCTTTCTTTATTATGATGTCAGTTTGCCTAGTATGACGATCAGTCCTTTAAATCCCGTGAAAGATTTTGAGTTAGATGAAATGCAAGTTTTGGAAAAATTACTGGGCGAATGTAGTACCAATGAAAAACAACAAAAGATGCAACAGTTAACGGAATGGTTATTATATGGCGTACAATAATGTACTAAAGAGCAAATGTTATTATAATTATATATTATATATATATATATTAAATATTTATTTTTGTTCCTGGACACATCTGATCACGACATAATTCGATATTATTTTCAAAATGTCCGATTGTGAAACGCGTTTCTTTTTTGATATCTTTTTTTTTTGTATCGACAGGAAATTTATGTGATCGTTCTACGTCATGCTGCATTATCGCGAAGAATATATGATCGACGAAAATTTTTGGCAAACAAACAGTCGGCGAGATACCGGCGATGATGAAATTAATTTTGACATAAAATGCAGCGTAAAGATGCCTATTTAAAGATCCTCGCCTATTTGCGAAACTTTGTGAGTCGCAGCATTTTATCTGCGGTACCATAAATTAGGCTAACACCATGCCGAGTTTCGGCCCAACATATAGCATATTACTGCACGTCATCATTGTCAGTGCGTATGTAGATCTCGTCAGGTATTTTTCCAAATTCTGTGATACTGTTGTTAGATATAAATACATATGATTAGACTGTGGACGCGTAAGCGGCACTTTTCCGAAATATAGTCCTTTTATTGCCGACATAGTGCGTTATTATAAATATATTAATGCAGAATCCAGATCGTCGTACGAAACGAGCAGGAAGGAAGTAATCGAGATATGTAAGTATGACCAACAATGTACAGCGTTCACAAAATTTAGAAAATATGTCACATATGTGGAATGAAATTATCTAAATTCCATTAGATTTTAAAGGGTGAATTAAGAAATTGATTAATAGTAGAATAGAGATTTCGATAATATCGTATGTAAAGACGTGATTTGCAAAAATACTAAAAAGGATCAAATCTATCACCGAAAAACGTTTGTCGATATATAGAAATAAAGAAAATACAAACATAAAGCAATTGGTTTCACAGCTCATTCTACATATTAAATTTCAAAAAATTAAATTATTAAAAAGTAAATTTATAAGACAATTAAAAGTTAAAAATATTGATAAGTAGTATGCAATGTAAAGTATTACTCGAAATATTTATTCCAGTTTCATAATCAAGTTTAACAATCAATTTCCGTTCGCTTATAGCAAAAGATTGATGTTTTACGAATCTAAATGTGAGACAGTCTTATGTAACATCTTGTACAATTAATTCTATAATAATTGTAAATCTAATATTTGAATCTTTGAAATACCCAGTTTATCAACGTGGATTCTTCGAGCTCACGAATTCAAAATGGACATTAATGCTACGGAATCGTTTTTTGTTGGTCATGAGCTGAAGGTACTCACCTTCGGGTGGACCGACTACACTCTCTTCGGCGGTCTTCTGGGCGTCAGCGTCCTCATCGGAGTATACTTCGGTTTTTTCAGCACGAAGCAGGACAACACCACTGAATATCTACTCGGTGGCAAGACTATGTCTTTTCTTCCAATTAGTATGAGTTTAATAGCAAGGTGATTTAATGAAGCATTTTATCGCCGTTCTCCGTAATCCTGTAATTAAGGATAGAATATATCATTTGTTGTAATTTCTTTGGAAAACATTTTTCTGATTATTTTATTTCGACCTTTGTTATTTTAATTTAACAAAAAAACTTAGCTAAAAAATTTTCTTTTACGTGGAATATCTCAAAATTCTTTAAAACTAATTTGGAAAATTTAATTCGCGAAAAGCGAATTTCTTTAAGCTTGGTTGAAATAAGTATTAAGATTGTCAAAAAAGAAGAACCATTTCTGATAAAGATAAAATTCATTTCAGTCATATATCGGGGGTATCCTTACTCGGCGTGCCTTCTGAAGTATACCAGTATGGGACTCAGTATGCAGCGTGCATTTTCACATCGTTCATCAGCTGTTTCTTAATTGTATGCGTATACCTGCCGGTGTTTTATAAACTGCAATTGACAAGCACTTTCGAATATTTGGAAATTAGATTTTCCAGACCGGTCCGGCTGTTAGCATCGTTTCTCTATACTCTTTCGCTGGTGGTCTATGTGCCGCTGATAATCTATGTGCCGGCGTTAGCTTTCTCACAAGCGACTGGAATGAATCTGCATTACGTCGCGCCGGTGATATGTATGGTTTGCATTTTCTACACGACTATCGTAAGTAAAATGAATATCATATCAATTAATTATTATTATAAAAGATAAGTTTGAATGGGCGTCCATTAGTTTGATGATAATGCTAATGCTTTACTGCATATTGAATTAAAAGAAAAAGCGTTCAACATTTTCTTATAATTTTGTAAAAGAAATATCCATGATGATGCAATGTTCTGTGATTATCTTTGAACTTCTAGACGCTGTTATCGTCTAAGTAACAATCGCACGTGCTGCATGTTGAAATAAAGATTTATTAAAGTCGTAAAACACGTAGACTCGTGTCCGGATTGGTTAGAAGGCCACGAAAGCTCCGAAATAGAATTCGTCATTCGTCACAGAACGGCGCGCCATCCTGAGCGTTATCAGACATTCTTTATTTAAATGAAAAGTACACGGACAGTTGTGATAGGCAGACGAACAAGTGATTAGTTTAGAGTAGAATTATCTAAGGCTTTGTCGAACGCGACTACGCTCTTATCAATTTTACAAGTTGTATTATTTATGACATTCCCCACATAGGACACCCCGAAGATATCGTATCTCTCAAAGATATCTTCGGGATGTCTTCTGAACGTGCTCCGGATATGCATGCTGTGTGGATCCTGTTATCGCGCGATGCGACAACAGGATAATGACTGAATTTGCTGTGTTGCTCAAACAAACAGTAACGAGATTTGCCGTTATTTGCTTTCGTCTTGCACTTGTTTAGACAATAGTACATTGAATAGTAAGATGATATGCGAAAAGAGAATCAATTGTGCATTTTGTTTTTTGGTAGAGATATCTTTGAGGAAAGAAAGCAAACGCTTGTCGGAAGCTCAATGTTTGCGATAAGATTAACGCCGATGATTATTTTTATAAATTGCACTTGACAACATCATTTGTGCAATTTTATTACCAAAGTCGTAACTCTCGACAAAATTCCTGCCGCGATAATGATTTATAAAATACAGATCACAGCGTTGCAACGTAATATCATTATGCAATTGTGTCACAAACTTCTCCCGCGTTTACGTTTCACCGACCCCCCGATCATACCGTTTGATTCTGTACACGTCGCGTCGTGACTGACACTGATACCTTTATTGTGTCCGAGTAATCTCTCTTTGAAAAACTTATAGGGAGGCTTGAAGGCTGTCGTATGGGCGGATACGGTTCAGATGACGGTGACTGTCGGAAGTCTCGTCGCCGTTCTGATTTTGGGGACCATCGCCGTGGGCGGTGTCGGCGAGACATGGAGAATAGCTGAAGAAGGTGGTAGAATTATATTCTGGAAGTAAGAACAGCTGTATTTCTTATGTCACAATTTATTAACCCTTTCACTGTTAATCTATGCATAGGGAATCGGTAAACATCGATATCGCGAACAATAGAGTTTAGTTTTTATGCATATTTTATGAAAATTTAATACATAAACATTACAGTTTTGTTTTCTACAGATAATTAAATATAATTATGTTAAAAAAATATATTTTTTGTTCCGTAAAAGTAATAGTAGCAATAGTAAGAGCGAGTGGGGCTAAAAATTAGTCCCTGATATGTCACCTAGATCTGGAAGTTCTTCTGTGACTCTCCGCTAGTTGTTAAGATTTAGCTTTTCTGACCAAGTCCAGCGTTCTCCAAGACTAGCGTTTTGTTTCGTAAGAATAGAAAGATAGAAAGATTTTATTATACATGTTGTTTCGGATAACAGCGAAAGGGTTAATGGTAAAGACATTATCCTTTATATTAATAAAAATAAAACAATAAAATCGAAGATACACAGGCATTGAATAAATGCGCGCGTCTTGATGCGCTGCTGATCGGTTTACTAATTATAAACATTGCACCTTAATTAGTTAAGCTATGTTGATTACACTAACATAATTTTTAAATGTTGCAACATGTTTAACACGATGTGCGTTTCAGCGTTTTTAAAAATTAAATTATATTGTGTGTTTTTTTGTTTCTTAAATGTTAAATGCAATTCACAAAAGCGCGTTTAACGCACATTGATTCTTTTTATGATTGCCGTATTGTCTATTCTTTCCCAAGAATATAATTAGAGCTATAAAGAATATTATCGATTCTTTTTAACAGCATGGATCCCAGTCCTTTCGCAAGAAATTCGTTCTGGGGTATGTCAGTAGGAATGGTATTAACGTGGCTGTCATCGCTGGGAATTAGTCAGGTCTCCATGCAAAGATTCCTGGCAGTACCTACTATTAAGGAAGCACAAAAGTAATTGCAAATATTTATCTTCTAGAACGGCTTGACATAAATGACAATTATTTTATGTTTGTATCTTCGCAGGTCAATATGGTTTCTGGCTGTAGGTTTAGTGGTCGTAAAATTGATTTCCGTTTTCACCGGACTCACGATGTATGCCAGGTATCACAAATGCGATCCCATAAGCGCGCACGTAAGTTTATTAGCCCTTAACGTGTCCCGTGCTAAACCATTCGTACATTTATGACGAATGTATGCGTAAATACGTGTCGTTTACGCTCGACTAAAGTCCACTTTAGACGGTCTATAATTCGTGACAGAATTCACAGACGGATAGAAATTTATCTGTAATTCTATGTATAGAAACGTCGAAAAAATCGAACTACACATACACAAAATGCACATCACTAATATATATTTTGTACATAGTGTGTATTGTGATTTTTCAAATGTTTCTTGTATTATACGGCACATAAAATTATAAATAGAATTTTATCCCGAAGTTTGTCGCGAATTATAGATCGTCTAAAGTGGGCTTAATGCTTGATAGAAATCAATTGGAATTTTAAAAGCACGACGGAAGTATGATTATATTAGAAAGACTGGAATTAAATAAATATAAGCGGACGATATTAGAAATATGAGTCACTAAAAGATCGTATATGCAATGGTTTTATTGCAAATTTCGAGATGCAATTTATAGAATATCCCGCTTAAATTGTGAACATTTTAAATAAATCTCCGTTACTTGTGATAATGTAAAAAAATACTCGAGGAAGGAATTGTTTGTTTCGAAGAAGCAGATTTTATGGGGCTAACAGCATATTTTTCTCAAAATTACTCTGTTCAAAGTTTTAAGATCATCGATATTTTTTGCACACTCGAACAGCGGATTAGTTTAAATCCATGGCAGATTTTTTGATATTTATTTTAGAATTAACTTTTTTTATTAGATTTTTTTTTATCGTATTCCTAAATCTTTTGGTTTCTTTTAGTTTATATCTTTCAGCCATACACTCATATCATAAAAATTTTGTAAATCGCGTGTAATTAAAGCAAGATTAAAAAGTCGGGCAGTTAAGGATTAAACAAATCGCCTCTTGTGAGAGATTTCAGTAAGGGAATTAACTTGCTTTCAGGTGGTAGCAAGGAGCGACAAGATATTACCGTATTACGTGCTGGATGTAGCCGCGGACGTTCCGGGACTTCCTGGCCTCTTTCTCGCCGGTCTGGTGAGTGCCGGCCTCTCGACGATGAGCGCCGGGCTGAACACAGTCGCTGGCACGGTTTATGAGGATTTCATCGATCGTTGGATGCCAGAGAGCAACAATAAAGAGAATAAAGCCGCCAACATTATGAAGGTACAAAGGCAGATGCGCGCGGAATATATTACGATTCGAAACCGCGCGAAGAAAACAAGATGCCTTCTTTTCTGTCCGTTCGTCACGTTGCGATATCGCTAAACGCTTCAATAAACAGAAATAAGAACAACGGATACCGTATGCGTCCTTTAATTCGATTCCATATTATAAGCACGTCAAGCGATGCTAGATGCGTTTTCACAATGCGATTTGTATTGTCTTCAGCTCACGGTGGTTGTCCTAGGCATCCTGTGCGTGGGCATGGTGTTTCTTGTGGACCGGCTCGGCGATATCTTTCAGCTGTCGCTGACTGTCACCGGTATCACCGCTGGCGCTATGCTGGGCTTGTTCTCGCTAGGGATGTTGGTGCCCTGGGCGACGACCAAAGGGGCGGTGGTTGGCGGTCTGGTCTCGATGGTGACGATGATCTGGATCATCGTCGGCGCGCAATGGCACATGGCCAATCATCGTTTCTACTACGAGGCACTTTCCTCCACGACGAAGGGCTGCTCGAGCGTGCCCGGTCTGTTTAATCGGACGACGACAGCAAGCACGCAGAATCCAATGCAAGTCGAATCCGTGGATGAGCCTTTCTTCATGTACAGGATATCTTTCATGTACTACACGCTGTTAGGTGCCTTGATTGTAATAGTGATCGGCACGTTGGTCAGCTTCATCTGCGGCGCTCCTGATTTAAGGGATATCGATCGAGATCATTTCCCGCCGTTCATCACCAGGTATGTTTCTGAATTTCGCGTTATGATTTTATTCGAAATATTTCGAAACACAGAAGGCAGGCCATTTCTTTACTCGGTAATTTTTTATCAGAATTTATCGGAGAAAATTATGGTGCATATTTTTGGCTTCGTGTGTGCATTTATTGTAAAATTGAACAGAAAGTAGATATTTTTGCTAAGAAAAAAGCATTGATAAAATCAATGCTGATGTACATCGCATATAAAAATTATTGCATCAAATATTTAAGTTAATTGGAATTTATTTTGAATATCATTGTATCGTGTTTGTAATTTATGCATTTATATATCATTATTCTTTATTATTTATTAATCTGTAATAATATTGTTATCATTTGCAGATTTATGCCACCAAAAAAATACATGGAAGTATCGTTGCATGCGATGTCGACAACGCTGGTGACTAATTCAGAAAGAGAAGAGTCAAAATCTTAAAATATATACATTTTCTGTGTGTGTGTGTGATTCCCTACATTTTTCTTCTCCGTGACATTACAAGACATTATTGTAGCAAAGGGGTATAAACGCGCGATGATTGCAAGCTCTGTGATCTCTGTAATATTATATACTCTGTAATCAAATAATACCAAATTAAATGTTGTATCGTAATCTATTTTTCGTGAGCAAACTCATGCTCAGGGCTAACTGGAAGATTAGTTGGAAGATAACTTTTGATATATATATCAATATTGATACGAAGGTATTTAGAGAGAGAGGCTTTTATTTTTATAAATCTTTTAATGAAGAAAGCTGCCATCAATAAATCCTTAACGCCTTAAATTACTGGAAGACACCGATCGACAGGCAAGTAGACTTATTTGCTGGGAGATAACTGCACCGTCCGGAGTTGAAAGCACCCATTAGAACGTCGATGAGGGTGTCAAATTGACTAGATTATATATCTGCCCCACGCATCTCAATACAAACAAGTCCCTTCCATCTGAAACATCTGGAGGAGCGATGCGTATCGGATTAGGGCCGAATGTAAATGCCGCGGGAGTTTTTTGTCAAGTCATTCGTCGAGTTTCTCTTTAAAATCCGCGAGAGATAGACCGTGCCAGAGTTCGGGCTCGTGACAAATTTCGAATCTTCGATTCGTTTCTCGATGGCGCGAGCGGGCGAGTCGATCATCTCGAATTCAAGACGACGAAACGGCAGACCCTTATCAGTGTCCGAGATGCGATCATCGATTTTCGGGCAACCGGCGAAGGGCCGGACGAAACTATTTCACGAGAACATTCCATGTCTCCAGAGGAGAAACGGCGCTTCTGTGTCTCGACGCGGCGACCACATTCCATCGCGAAGCGTTTTATTTTATTGGACTGAAAGGTGTCAAATATAGGTGGCAGGGGCCCATCTACTTACATACCGATGCGCGAGCTCGAAGAAACTCTCCGTCTGCCCCCGTCGTTTCCCCCCATCGCCTTTCTATCCGGTCTGATTTCAACGTGTGGGTAAAATCCCGAAGTGAGAGGACCCGGCTCGCATTGTGGCCTAGGTGACAGATTTTTGACAGATTTTGTCTGATTTGGTGTCGAGTGACAGACCTGAGAGGCCCGATCGTGCAGCTTCCTCGTGGTTGACGTCGTATATCGCCCCTCTTTACACCGAGCAACCTTTCTAAAGCGACAATTGACTATGTTCCACCCCTGTAATCCTTCGTACTAATTATTATTTTTATATAGAAAATTAGGGCGAAATTTGTAAAAATTATTTCTCTTTGGTATTTATGAAATTCACATCTGGAAAAACATCTTTTATTCACCTATTTTATTGCTTTCTTTTAAAAGATTTGTGTTGAATAACTCACTCTCTTTATCTAATATTATCTTTATGGCAATATTTTTTAAAGATTTTAGGATGATTTACTATGGTTTCTATTTTCAGAAAATGCCTGTAGCTATCGCATATTCTGCTGGCTGCGAACTACATAGGCCGAAGATAAATTTCCAGTTTCGTATCACAACTATTATATGGTCAAGATTCCCTCGTTTCTGTCGAGCCACTGTATTTGGAAAAAGACGGGGGACTACCACGGTGTGGGATACGGCTTATTTCAGCAACAATGCGCGCGGTCAGGCGCTAGCATAGACATATAATGCACCCCGCTAACGTGAAAATTATTCTGTCAAACATTTGGGCATCGGATTTACGGCGGTGTCCGTCTAGGACACGCTTTCTCAGAAAAGATATGCCAATTGAAGCCGCCTTCGGCAGATGCCGAAAGGATTTGTCGGCAGAACTTCTCAATGAGATGCATGCCGATCTGCGCGTATGCTATTAGATGACAAGGTTGACGCTCAATATTTAATTTTTGAATGGTCCATTCAACACCTTTACATTTTCTGATGAATAAGAAATATTTCTAAAGTTCGTAATAATTATTATTAAAAATAATAAACGTTATATTGATTAATATAATAATCAATTATTAAGTGCACAATATCTTATGCAAAAACAAATGCAAAATTAGAAAAATTAATTGTAAATTAATTGTAAATATAGTAAGATTGGCTTGACAAAAAACTCTGCTTTTGAATTTAATTTATTCAAAATTATTAGATAAAATAAATTAATTTGTTTTTTGCGTAACATGATTCAAATGTTACTCGATACATTCGCTGCCGTACCTTTTCGCGAGAGGTATTATTTTCGATTGCAAATGTATAAAATAAAATTGAGAAATCCGATCACTTTATTTGAAAGGATTTCAGACTTTTCGTCTTCGATCGCTATTACTATTTTCATAGTAAAAACTGTCGTGTGACGAAGCGCAACAATAGCTCCGAGACGAAACGAGAAACGAGACGAGAAGCTACAAAACAACTTCTGCCTGCAAACACGAGGAATATTGTGACGTTTCTTCTCCGAGTGACATTCTATTTTCAGGCCGGTAACGTCTCGTGCCTCCAACCGCACGCACTGTATACGCTATAGAATGGAGAATACGATATACCCGTGCATCCCCTCAACCTCCCCCTTTTCATACCGTCGATTCACCTTCTCTAGACACGCAGCCGGGGTGCTCTCATCGTAAATACAAACAAACAACAATCGGCCTCCGTTTCTGCCCACGAGAGCAGCAAGCAAGGTAACAGAGGGACGATTTACCAAGAGTTTCAATGTGATTCTCGTCGAGCTCAAATTTTCATCGAAAAGCCAATCTTTTGTTACCGTAACGATGTAGCGTGAAATCTTATCGTTCTAATTATTTCAGATAATTTTTATTATACTAGAAATTAAAAATAAATATATATTTTAAAGCACTCTTTACAAATTATGATTCTAAAACAGAACTACTTCTTTCGCATCCGAAGTATGTATTTTTAGATCCGGAATTACATGCGCTCATTAAACTGTAAAACATTTACAAAGCAATTCCCGAATTTTTTTCGCGGAAAAATTTTTTTTTCCCCGAAAGAAAGTTACATTTGTTATATTTTTTCATTTTAAATTACTACTTTTTCTTTATATACTGTTATTTATCTCCCATTGCGCGATTTTGTAATCAGCCGTTTGAACACGGAGGGAGACATAATATCAGACAAGATGAAAAGCGAGCTCGCCCGTTTCTGGTCCAATGTATCGTGTACAAATGTATATGGTATTCTGTCGGCATAACTATACAGTCGGCGAAAAAGGAGGGTATATGTATTCCAGCAGCGAGGAAGATCATACAAAGAAAGTTAGGATATATGCTGACTGGCTCCGGACCGTCGCGCAGAAAGGGTCACGCTTATTCTCTTGTAAAGTGTCTATACAGCTCGACTCAAGCTCAACATGTTTTTCCGAATACATTTACTAAAGAAGATAAATTAAAAGAAAAAGAAAATTTCTTTTAACTTTAGAGATAGTGCCTTCGAGGCAGCGCGGTTAATGGAAAATATTTTTTTTCGAAATACAGTAAGTAGACGGCCAAATCTTATAATATAATTCCGGATAAACTTCGCCTTCACAAAATCAAATTGAAACTATATAAGTTATAGATACTTAACGCTAAGATTTAAGTAACTGCGAAGAGAGAAGATTGATGACTTCGACCAAATTTTGCGTAAAAAACGGATTTGAAACTTATTAAAGAATTCAAAATACATGTAAATTATGTAATGATTGAAACATCCTGTATGTATTGTATTGTTACGGCAAGCAGTATCGCAAGGACGCGATGTGTGGATTTGTTCGAGATACTTCATCACAATGGGTATCATGCGATATAGGAACTAGAAGTCTTGTAGAAGTCAATATCTTAAATCATCGAAAAATAGGTCGAACGCTTGATTTGTTGCGAGTTGTATAAAATATACATGAGTGATTTTGAAGAGTGGATTATTTTCTATCGCGATTATTTTATAAAGTTAAAAAATTATACGTATGAAAAAAAAGCATACAGAATTTTTAATTGAACTCCAAAGAGTCCAGAAAGTATAACGCGGATAGAAAAATTAATTAACTTTTATAATTTCCATTTTCTCATATTTTCGAAGGCTAGTATCGCTATCTCTAGAGAACACCTCTAACAAGCAGACACGTATTCTCTCTCGCTCCACCGGCTCACTATTATGTTTGTAACTGCGTCAACCATTGATGTCAATAGCGGACGCGCAAAATCAAGCGTCTGCGAGATCTGGAATTTCCGGGACTTTCGCCAAACACAGTAGGGCACACACATCGGGAAGCAGAGAGTGGAACAAAAACACGCGAAGTCCCTGGACGTCGCGCGCGAGCTTTCGGCCTGACCTCGCTTTGCCACCAATTAGCATCTCTCTTAATGACGATCGTCGAGCGTGCCCGCGCGCTCGCGTGACTCCTATACGCCGATACACAATCGTACAGCCGACTCTTACACACACACACACGCACACACATATATTCGCGAGGCGACAAGAGCGAAACGGAGACAGCGAGAGATCCATAAAAAAGCCCTTTACCCCCACTGATCGCGGTTGTCCCCACTATCGCAATCTCACCCTTCCAAGCGCATAACGAACGTAACGCGTGCACTCCGCATCACCCTACTCTACCGCGTCGGGCTTACCCCCACTCGTCCGCTTCTGTGAAAGATCTTTATTTCGATCGTCGACCGATTAACGACCGCCGAGCGTCTGTTCTCCACGCCTCCGACGCGTTCGCTCGGCCAATCGGCTCCCATCCTGCCAGCCATTTTGGTCCATCGGGAGGCTGCGCGCACGTGTATCGTCCTTCTCCACCCTTAGTCGTTGCATCGTGGAGGGTGTTGCCTCGCGATGTATGTGCTATCAGCTGTATGCATCCGTATATGTGGTATGCGCGCGCGCGTACGTTTGTTCAACGAGGCAATGTTTCCATTAAAGGAGAAAAGATACGCGGGGTAGCTGCGCTCGCTGCGCTCCCTCAAGCGCGCGTCCACGTTTTACACATATACTGGTTTTTAAGAAATTTAAAGAGCAATAAAATCATTGTCGAAAATGCTCGTGACCGCGTGGTCGAAATTTCGTTCGTCAATTTAACTACGGAGGAGATGCAGGGGATTCGAAATTTGCATGTAATTTCGTTGAGAGTAACGGCAATAAAATACTATCCTTTTTCTTCTCGTGCAAACCGCTTCGGTTTTTTTTTTCCCCTCGTCGCGTCACATATAGATAGTTACTGCGATCGGTGTTAAATCTTGAACAACGGACGGGGGTGGCCGAAAGGGATAAAAGGGCAAGAGGGCAAGTTAAGAGCTCGCGCGCTCGCTCGCTCCGCGCTTCATCGATGCTCTTCTTTTTCTCTTTTACGTCAAACACGTTTCTTCGTTCACGTACTGGGGGGTGCCGTTCTCGTGTTCGCGAGGAACGCGTGTGTGTTCCATCGTAATAGAATTCGCGGCGGAGGAAAGATCGGCGGACGAGGGAGAACCGGGAGATTGCGCAGTTCTGTATTCTCCTCTCGCACAGTCGCGCGTATGTATCATCGAGATAGAGCTTATTTATAACGATAGTGGGTTAAGAGGGGCGGGAGGGAAAAAGAGGGAACGCATCGCGAACCCTCGTTTCTTCTCCGTTCTCCCGCTACTCCACTCGCTTGTGCGGCGTATCCTGGCGAACGGCGGTGGGGAGTTTCACCCGGGAGGTGGTAACAGGGAGTGCATCCGAGAAGCGGGACGATCCCGGGGTCTTCGCTGTGTGCGTCCGTACTCGTGACACACCGTCGAATCGCGCGATGGTAGGCAGGTAACAGCGGGGAGTGTATCGAAGGCAGGACGAACCGGGATATCGCGCGCGCACACACACGTACGCGCCAGTCGTTCTAGCGCCGGTATGTGTCCAGAAGCGAGACGAATCTCCGTGCATGTGATCCCCTTCCCCTTTCGGTCGCACGCTCACGCATACGAATACCAGCCTGTTTTCCACACACCACGGCGCTCTCGCTTCTCGCCCCTCCTTCTCTCGTTCTCTCTGTCGCCCTCCTCTCTCTCACCAGCTGGCTGCGGCGCTGTGTGTTTCTCGGCGCCCACAGATATACAGGCAGACGCGCGACGGCAGCGTCCCCGGAGCGGAGCGTGCGACGGGTTTTCGGGGAGACGCAGGTCAGTTCGGCGGCTCGCAGATAGTAGTGGGGACCGCGAAACGGGGAGGATAGGGGTTGTTGGATTCACGGGGTACACCAGGTTATCAGCACCACCAAACGGCGGTACCACGAAGCACACGGCGTCGTCGTCCGCCACCGTCGCCGATCGACGCCGTCGCCGGCGTTGAGAGAGCACCCCCGAGGTAACGCTCGTTTCACGCGAGAAACAGACGATACGCGAAGTGGAATAACAGAGTCCACGTTGACGGCACGTTCCCGCGTCCATCGCCGCGGCACGTCGGAGAAGAGAAGAAGAGGGCCGGCCTCCCCACCTCCCCCTTCGACACACGGCGCTTTACTCTTCGGAGTAATCACTCCGGAGTGAACAGTCACCTGCCTCTTCGGTTGCGATTCCGAACAACGTGCCTGCCTCTCGTTTCGGTCATCCGCGAGGAATGCTAACGACGTCGCACTGTAGTCGTCGCTTCGCCACGAAGTACGTTTCGGAGTATGTAAATCCTGACATTTCTGCTGTGCCATTTCCGTTCGTCAGAATTTTCGGGATGATTCGCGAGTGAGGACGTACAACGAAATAAATAAGAAAAAAACTGAAAAGTGGACGGAAGCAGCCACGTGGTCCCGAACGAAAATATCCTTGGGAGGGAGCAACTACGTGGATCGTGCAAGGATATCATCTCCAGCCGATACGGGGCAGCGACGCATTGAGGGTACGCCGGGAAAGGTAAGCGACAACAGAGATTGATTGATCCGAGATCGTGTACAAAGTGCTGCGTAAATATGAGATTTCTGAATGCTTCCAGTCTTATTCAGCTTCGAAATTTCTCTTTCAACGCGCGTTGCAATCATACGCGACGAGAGAAAAGTGTGCGATATGATTATTAATTTACGAGATAATAGATTCGTGAATTGGATCTTTTGCGTTCTTGATCGTTTAAAATTGCGTTGTGTGTGTGCGTGTATACGGGTGTGTATGTGTGTGTGTGTGCGTGTTTCGTATAAAAATTGCTGAAATCTTACAATAAATCATGCACACGCTTTTGCGAAAGCGCGCTTTCATTAAATTCGGCTGATATATGTCTTTTTTCAATCGACAATTACGGAAAAATTGCGCAAATCCTTGAATTTTATTCGGAGCCTAAACATTGAACTATTCTTGCACATGTAAGAGAGCTTTCAGATAATTTTAACAAGAATTTACTTTGGTATCTTAAAATTGACAAGAAATATCGTAAATATAATGTGAATAATGAAAGTTGAAGTGCGATTTCTATTTTATAGCACAGTCATGCAATTCTGTGATTCTAATATCGCATATGCACTGGGGCAATTTGAATTAGATAATATATTAGTGAATCATTCAAACGTTGCGTTTTGAAAGAAACGTCAGTCATATGTAACTGTTATTCGCAATTAGAACCCTCAAATTATAAATTCTCATAATCTTCTCTTGGAAATTATAACTTAAGATTATTCCTTCGACGCACCGATGTGTAATGATTATTTCCTTGATGCACCGATGTGTAATGATTGATAACACATAAAATGTACGCAGTGTGTAGTGTCCATCTTATATCTCTCATTAAATCGCGTTTCAATCTTCAATATTTGCTTTCTGCAATTCACAACATTAAATTAATTGAATTATTAAAACTTATATTTCATCGAGATTAATATATTTATTATAAAATACTCTGTTTCCGATAATGTTTTCAATACTAATAATTAATAACATTAAATAAATTGCACTAATTGCAACTTTCGTATAAAATATAAATCTTGAAATGAGATATGTTCAGAAAACAAAATTTTAGAAATTATGCGAAGATAAAAATAGAGCTAAACAACTCTTTCTGCTTTGTAAAAACTGGTAGGCTATTCTCGGGCGAGATTTTGGTCTCCGACGATTATCCCGACACGCCCTCCGATCGTTCGATTCAAGGAAAGACTTGGAATCCTCTTCTGTCAGAGTGAGACAAAATTTTAATTCGTGACATTTATTTAGAAACTGTAAATCTTTCCCGATGTAAGGTCAATGTACTCTTAATAATTTTTAGCTCCTTGTGTTACAATGTATAAATTTGAACCTAACATTGTACACTTATTTAGAAGTTTTCGTTTTTCCGTCGCCTGATCTTATTCAGAAGTTTTCATTTTTCCGTCGCTTGATCTTATACGGTAATCAAGTTGATCAAAGATTAAAAAACATTGCGTAGAATGACGAAATAATGTTGAAAAGGAGTAAAATATCTTTTCTTGAAAATTAATACAAGCTGTGTTTCAGCATTTTCGATTGATTCCAAATTGATGAAGAAATGTGCAGTAATCCGCTCCGGTGTGAGCGCTGGGACGTATTATGTGTGAAGTAGCTCACAAGAGTTTTGAAACGATGATACTGCATATAATCGTAACGATAACGCGCGTCAGATGAGCAACCATATGGATAAATAGATCTATTTAAAATTTCAACTGGTTCGACTTTGTCGAACCACGAAAGAAATTGGCGTAACGATCGCGGACGCGACGAAGATCTGTTCCGCGTCGCTTATGAATTCTCGATCGAGCGTTTCTGATAAATGAAGTCGCGGAAATCAGCCGTCTCGCAAAAGAAAGCGGCGACGGAGCGGCTTCTTGCGTAAGACCGCGGCGAAGAAAGACCGGCGCCTTTTCGCGCGTATCACGCTCGTGAGTGGCACCGGTAGCCAGTCGCATGCTCGTCCTGTTAATTGTCGCCAATTAACGAGGTACACCTCTCGCCGGCGTCTCACCTTGCTTTGCCGGCCACCTCCTTATCGGCTCTATTCAGGATCGCCGCCGTCTTTTCTCTACGCCAGCTCGTACACCCCGACGAGCAGCGGTAAACCGTCGTTCGCGCTTTTGTCGGCATAACGCCGCGTCATCCCCGCTAATCGTCACGAAAAGTACGCCGCGTTTATACGACGTCCTCTCTCGATAAAGACCGCTACCGGCCGCGGCCGAGAGTGAAACGCGCCGCGCGAGCATCAATCTTTGTACCGATTTCTTTGGCCGAGCGGCCGTCCTAACCGCGGCGAAATCGGTAATATGAGTTTAGTTACCTATCGCATCGGGGTTCCGGCACCGAAATCACCGCTCGTTAGCGAAGTACATCCGCGCTCTTCTTCTCGCTCAGCAGTGTAGGCGAGAGAACACATCACGGATTTTTTTTCTCTCTTTTTTTTTTGGAGTATTCGCTAGTTTATTCTCAGTTTTGTGCGCGGGCGAAATTAACTTCTTCCGGCGAGAACGATGATTAGCAACACTCTCCGCCGGCCATAATATTCTAAATGAATGTACTCGGGATTTTAAATCGCCATTTATCAAGTTTGAACATGTGATTTTTAGCAAGTAAACTTTTAGCAGATTAACATAATTGCTTTTTTTTATTATTGAGCAACGTAGTATGCAATCTTAATTACCAAGCAATAGAATCGAGAAACTAAAGTCATACAGTAAAAAAATTTTTTGTTCGCGCTGAATATTTTAGGGCTGAGGTTTATGACGTTGCTAATGAAACTACTTCTAACGGAAATAAACAGAACGATAAATATCACTTAGAAACTAATAAGTTCTAATTTTATCAAATAACGCGTTTGATAGGTTATAAGCGCTGGTCTAATTAATGTTGGTCTAATCACGTTTAAGACGATCTATTTAATTTTTAATATTTTTGTATTTTTTCATTCTTATAATTTTTTCATCTCCTGTTATATAAATGAATGTATTACGTCTGTTTTTACAAGACTATTTTGTCCGCAAGGAATGCAATAAATATATCAAAATTCAGAAAACGTGCGATGGAATTCTACGATATTCGTAGCATAATTGATAAATGTTTCTGGCATATAATATAAAATTTCAAAATGCTATTTTGTTATTTAATTGTAGCCTTAAATACTTGTTATTAAAGTCGTGAATTTAATAAATTCAATCAGACTTTGGTAGCACTTTGGAATGTAAACTCATCAGTCACCAAGCGCTCCAAGCAGATATTTTTAACTAGAAATAACTTCTCCATGTTGGAGCAGATGTATTGTCATAAAACACGATACATATTCAATTTGTATTCCAAAGTGCTGAAGAAGCAATCGATTTTAAGCGAGCCGATTTCGATGGTTATGCCTTTCAGCGTCGCGACAGCCGTCGGACATAGCCGCGTCCGCGTCACTTTCACCCGATTCCACTAGCGTTCCGTTCCCGCAAGGTTCTCTCGCGAGGTGAAGTGGTTACCAGCATCATCCTCGGCTGGTGGTGACTCGTGGCGTCCTTTTTTTTCACGAGTCATCTCCGTAGGTGCCGCGCAGTTTTCACGACGAGAAGTGGCCGCCGACGGGGGGTTGGCGATATACGTCTCGCGGTCCGGGTTCGGCCGAACGGGCTGACGGACAAACGCACAATGAGAACGAGGAATGCCCCGCAGAGCCAGACATGAAGACGTCACTCAGAAACGGTAACGGCTAGGACACGGGGTCAGGTCTGATCTGACCGTTCCGAACTGGCTCCGCAATGCCAGCTGCGTTCTCTCGCGTGAGTCAGCGTCGATTCGGACGGTTCGTAGCGTCGCGTCCGAGCACTTCCTTCGGGACGAAATTCCTCCCGAAGCCTATATCGGTATCGAGCTCGCGCGTTGACATATCGCCGGAAATTCCCAAAACTCGCACGGCTTATGAAAAATAGGTAAATAGGAAAGGAACATTTTTTAGCATTAGAGAATTTCATTCTCCAAATGCTTCAATAGAATGTATAAAAAATAAATATTTGTGTATATCGATAACAGCAAAGCGAGGAATAAAATATTTAAAGCTAAATGAAAAACGGCTGAAAGAAGAACGTAACTATGAGAGGAAATGCTTTTAATAAATATTAAACTAAGGACGTTTTAAATATTGAAGAGGAATTTAACTTTGATCGTCAAAGACAAAAATTGTAACTGCAGTAGTTCGCAGTAAAAATCCACAAAAGAGCAACAGATCACAAATTATAAAAAAGAGATAATTATCTCACTGCATTTTAACTCCCAGATTTTTTAATTTAAATTCAAGTGTAATTATACGATTGAATCATGCGAGTATAACACAAGTGTACAAGATCTTTCTGCTATTCTACTACATTCGTCATAAGATTTCCGAGATATTCCGAGTCATTTGTATCGGATGTAACACATGTTCATTGAACAATGCACATATTCGCGCTTAACTATCAGTTAGCAATTCCAGGAATATCGTCTGCCGCGGAATATAAAGCAGAATCTGTCAAATTTTTTCGTAAATTCAACGACGACCCCGGTAGAACGCGACGATTAACGCCAGGGAGGTAAAGCATAAATCTTACGCAATTTAAGCTAGAGCTTCGCGCGGCTGACAATGAATGGCGAAGCGCCATTTCAGCGCTTCGTTGGCTCGTAATGCGGCCGTAAATTAAGTCCCGCGCCGATTGGTCCACGTTCACATTCTCTGATTTACAAGCAACGACACGTCCCCGTCGTGTGCGCATAGGAGACCCGAAATCACTCGCGTTTATCGTTCATCGTTCTTGTGACGTAACTTCTCGCATTGAACGAAAGATTTCGTAACGCTTTCGCGCTTAAAAAAAAAGCTCGCGAGATCACTCGTTTAGAGTGTTTGCTCGCTCGAGATTTCCAACGAAAGTTCATGAATTCACACAAACCACAGTCGTGACTGTAAAATATTCTCATTCCAATTGCAA